CCCGAGGCCCCCGTTCCCTGCCCCGGGCCCCGGCCCGGGGGGGACCCGGCCGCTGCAAATGGGCTTGCCGAAGCGTTAGGCTGACCGGAAAAAAAAACACCCCAAAAAGCTAAAAAAAACAAAACCCCGTGGTGGTGCAGACTGGTCCATCACACGCTGGTGTGTGAAGCCCAGGCGGGAGCGGCTGCGCGGGCGGGTGGGTCTGGTGGTGTCAGAACAGCGTTGGCTCCGTAGGGCGCTTGCTGATGGTAGCTTTAAAAGACACCCGGTGGCTTTAGAAGTGCTCTCCTCTAGTGCTCTGGCCCCCTGGAAGGTGAATGCAGTTTCCCTGTAAACGTGAGTATCGCTGTCTACGTTTTTTATGGTGAATTTTCTGAAAGAAGCTTAGAGCACTTGTTGCCCAAGAGAAAGTGAAATGAGCAGATGCTCTCCAAGAGATGATCTAGCACTAGTCAGTGCTATTCAAGTTGTGGGCTGTAATCACTGTAGCTACCAGTTCAGTTGCCATTCAGAATAACTAGACTGCTGGCTGGGCACAGCAAAGTCATGAGATGCTGTAATCTCATTGTTTCATTCACTCACCAGACAGGATGATGCAAGTTCAGTTATTTGCAGTTTGCTGATGGTCTTTAGAGCAGGGCAAGCTGTTACTACAAACCTTGGCACAGGGATGAAAAGCAGTTCTCTTCCACATCTGTATCTCAGAAGAAAAAAGCAATCATCAGAAAGTAAAAGAAGATGCTTTAAAAAGCTGCCTTTATGTGGACATTTACCAGTCCAGTAGCATCCTAATGCTCTAAATGATCTTGGCAGTCTCAGCAGTCAGTTTCCTGTAGTGTTTCTTCAGAATGAAAACTCTTCAGGCTTCTCATTCTGAGCTGGCTTCATTGAGAAGTAAGGTCACTAAATGTTTGCAGACAGTCCAGTTTGAGAGTCAAAGCATAATTTTTGTTCTCTTCCTCTCAGCATCAATTTGTGTCTGCCAAGAACAGCGGTGGTCTCAGCACTCTTGCTTTATTCTGACTTTGGAGCAGTGTGATGCCTTTCTAAGAAAGCTCTTCTTGGGTAGTAGTGTTGTAAGCTGTTCTTGTAAGCTTCATCAGTGAGTTTCTACTGAATAGAAAAGTCGTCAGTGGATGGACTCTGTGATTCCAGAGGGGAGGAGAAAGAGAAGAGGAGATTAAAGCATTTCAGGGAGATATTTTCTTGGGAGGAGCAGAACCTTTCAATGTGCTATATCTGCTTCTTGTAGATACAGCTGGTGTAAATTACTAATTCAATCTATAGGCCAGAAGCTGCAAATAAGAAGCACAGGTTGAGATACCTACTGGTAGCTCTGCAGAGACATAACAGTCTGGCTTTATGCTGTAGCCTTCTCAAATGGCACCCTGAGCTGGGATGAAGTGTGTTGCTGCAGTTGTCCAAGTGCTGCTGACGTTGGCAGTGTCTGTACTGATCAACACAGGAAGGATGGGGAGAAGAGCATTACAGTGAGCATGCTGACTCTGAGGAAGGCTTTCCCAAATCTAAGCTAGTTCAGTCCATGGATTTAATGGCAGCTGATGTAAAACACAACTATTTGCCTCCTGTGTCCCAGGGGACCTGCATCTGCTCAGGTCTTTATTTTCCTCCTAGAAGTTCAGCAAGCTTGCAGCAAAAATTTGCCCTTGTTCATTCAGTATTGCTGTTATCCCTGGGTTTCCCCTCAATCCCCTGTTCCCCCTCCACCTCTGCTTTTAAAAATAGTCAAAGCATAATTTTTGTTCTCTTCCTCTCAGCATCAATTTGTGTCTGCCAAGAACAGCGGTGGTCTCAGCACTCTTGCTTTATTCTGACTTTGGAGCAGTGTGATGCCTTTCTAAGAAAGCTCTTCTTGGGTAGTAGTGTTGTAAGCTGTTCTTGTAAGCTTCATCAGTGAGTTTCTACTGAATAGAAAAGTCGTCAGTGGATGGACTCTGTGATTCCAGAGGGGAGGAGAAAGAGAAGAGGAGATTAAAGCATTTCAGGGAGATATTTTCTTGGGAGGAGCAGAACCTTTCAATGTGCTATATCTGCTTCTTGTAGATACAGCTGGTGTAAATTACTAATTCAATCTATAGGCCAGAAGCTGCAAATAAGAAGCACAGGTTGAGATACCTACTGGTAGCTCTGCAGAGACATAACAGTCTGGCTTTATGCTGTAGCCTTCTCAAATGGCACCCTGAGCTGGGATGAAGTGTGTTGCTGCAGTTGTCCAAGTGCTGCTGACGTTGGCAGTGTCTGTACTGATCAACACAGGAAGGATGGGGAGAAGAGCATTACAGTGAGCATGCTGACTCTGAGGAAGGCTTTCCCAAATCTAAGCTAGTTCAGTCCATGGATTTAATGGCAGCTGATGTAAAACACAACTATTTGCCTCCTGTGTCCCAGGGGACCTGCATCTGCTCAGGTCTTTATTTTCCTCCTAGAAGTTCAGCAAGCTTGCAGCAAAAATTTGCCCTTGTTCATTCAGTATTGCTGTTATCCCTGGGTTTCCCCTCAATCCCCTGTTCCCCCTCCACCTCTGCTTTTAAAAATATATATATATATATATTTACAGGGAATGGCAACAATTGCTCAGAGGTTTTGCTTGGTTAATCTTCTCCTTCCTCCCTGGGTGGAAACTGTAACTTTTCCCATCAC